TTGTCCCCAGTCAAGAGGCAGGAGGATGAGATAGGCAGCTACTGGCAACTAATTGGCTCCCTTTTTGCAATAACGGTACATGTTTTATGCATCTGGGCATGAAAAGAACCATTCCAGATATGAACAGAGAGATGGGTGAAATGTGCAAACAGATCGTCCTGTGGTGTAGAAATCGAGTGCATGATTTGATGGTACGTCTGTTCCAGGTCAGCACTGAAACATGTGTGTGTGTGCCCGTGTGATCAGAGTGATTAAATAGACTCTCACATGAACAAAATGTCAATCTAGGAGCCTCTTAAGGGCAAGTGAAGGAAGGATGTCGCTTCTTTTAAACATGCAGGAAATTTCAGTTCAATAAACAAAACTACTGCTATGTATAATTAGAGGGGGAAATGTATTTCTCTTCAGTTTGGCTTGTCTGCCAAGTAATAATCCCTATGACAGCAACAACCTACAGCCAACGTGGCTTTGGAGGGGGAATTCAAGTCTCATCCATGCTAAAGACCCAAATTTTAGAAATGCATTGGCACTGATATTAGTTGATCACTACCATTTTTTGTGATTATAGTGGTACCTTGGTACTCGAACTTAATCCGTTCTGGGAGTCCGTTTGACTCCTGAAACTGTTTGAAAACCGAGGCACGGCTTCTGATTGGCTGCAGGAGCTTCCTACACTCAAGCAGAAGCCGCGACAGATGTTCAGTTTCCGAAAAGTGTTCACAAACCGAAACACTTCCAAGTTTGCGGTGTTCGGGAGCCAATTTTTTCGACAACTAAACCATTTGAAAACCAAGGTACCACTGTACTATTAGCACTAAGTCAGGGGTGCCCAAACTTTTTTCAAAGAGGGCCAGATTTGATGAAGTGAACATGCGTGAGGGCTGACTGAAGTTGTTGAGCTTTTTACAATTTTACCCCAAAGTTGTTGAGTTTTTTTGGATTTTACCCCAAGACATATACTGCCACAGGGGCCAGATTAAATCGACCGGCGGGCCAAAGTAGGCCCCTGAAATGGACATGCCTGCACTAGGTGGAAAGGCATAGCTATGGAGGTTTTACCCTGAAATGCTAGTTTTGGATACGGACTGAAAGAATTTATTTATAAAACTTATACCCCACCATAGGAAATCAAGTCAGCTAATGAAATCAAGCAAACAAATATCATATACACCCTCATTCAAAACAGCAAGAATAATAAACCCCGTGTTAATATAATGAGCCAAAAATAATGACTGTCATTATGTGACCGATGAATAACATAGAATAAAAAAAATATTCTGGGAACAGCAGTCAAACTGCAAGTAGCAATATCAATTAAATCGCATAGTATTTATGAAGATCCAAGTTTCACCAACTGCTGAAAACATTATTATAGCACCTTGGGGGCCTTGGCAGAGAGGTAGTAAATAATTGCAAAAAAACAAACAAATAAGAGTGCCAGGGCCTGACTGATCTCAGCTGGCAGGGTGTTCTACAGGGTGAGTGTCACTGAAGAAAAAGCCACATGTGCAGCAGCTAAGCTGTTTGCTTCACAGAGTTAATGAATCTGGAGCAGTGTGTCAGGTGATGACCAGAGCATGCAGGGAGAACCATATGGAAGGAGGTTGGTCCTTCAGAAAAAAAACATATTGAAGGTTCTTTTTAATCAGCTTTGCTGCAGGGAGAAAGGTGTTAGTATGCTGATGTGGCTGTGTAGTGCATGTGCACTTTGCAGGTTTTTATTCAGAGATGAAGACTGTGAAACTATCCACACCCCAAGAGGGGATGCAGCAATTGAGCCAGCATCATTCCTGTTCCATTACTCCCTTTTCACCTCCCTCTCTTCTGCTGGGGGCGGGGCAGAAAGATCCCTGCTTCCGTGTCAATAGGAAAGGAGGCTGCATCTCTCAGCCCCACCAATTAATGTTAATCTTCAATTAAAGCTTTTGTTTATTGATCAATTGATCATATTGATTTAAGCTTGCAGAACTAGATAGTGTATTGGACTGAGAGGCCTGAGGTGTGTTAGGGTCCCTCTCAGCTGCAGATTCTCTCGTTTGCCTCAGTTCATGATCTGTCCAATGGAAATTTAAAAAATGACTACGTCACAAGGTTCTTGGATGCATATTATAGAATCATAGAATCATAGAGTTGGAAGAGACCACAAGGGCCATCGAGTCCAACCCCCTACCAAGCAGGAAACACCATCAGAGCACTCCTGACATATGGTTGTCAAGCCTCTGCTTAAAGACCTCCAAAGAAGGAGACTCCACCACACTCCTTGGCAGCAAATTCCACTGTTGAACAGCTCTTACTGTCAGGAAGTTCTTCCTAATGTTTAGGTGGAATCTTCTTTCTTGTAGTTTGGATCCATTGCTCCGTGTCCGCTTCTCTGGAGCAGCAGAAAACAACCTTTCTCCCTCCTCTATGTGACATCCTTTTATATATTTGAACATGGCTATCATATCACCCCTTAACCTCCTCTTCTCCAGGCTAAACATGCCCAGCTCCCTTAGCCGTTCCTCATAAGGCATCGTTTCCAGGCCTTTGACCATTTTGGTTGCCCTCCTCTGGACACGTTCCAGTTTGTCAGTGTCCTTCTTGAACTGTGGTGCCCAGAACTGGACACAGTACTCTAGGTGAGGTCTGACCAGAGCAGAATACAGTGGCACTATTACTTCCCTTGATCTAGATGCTATACTCCTATTGATGCAGCCCAGAATTGCATTTGGCTTTTTTAGCTGCCGCGTCACACTGTTGGCTCATGTTAAGTTTGTGGTCAACCAAGACTCCTAGATCCTTTTCACATGTACTGCTCTCAAGCCAGGTGTCACCCATCTTGTATTTGTGCCTCTCATTTTTTTGCCCAAGTGCAATACTTTACATTTCTCCCTGTTAAAATTCATCTTGTTTGTTTTGGCCCAGTTCTCTAATCTGTCAAGGTCGTTTTGAAGTGTGATCCTGTCCTCTGGGGTGTTAGCCACCCCTCCCAGTTTGGTGTCATCTGCAAATTTGATCAGGATGCCCTTGAGTCCATCATCCAAGTCGTTGATAAAGATGTTGAATAAGACCGGGCCCAAGACAGAACCCTGTGGCACCCCACTAGTCACTCTTCTCCAGGATGAAGAGGAACCATTGATGAGCACCCTTTGGGTTCGGTCAGTCAGCCAGTTACAAATCCACTGAGTGGTAGCATAGTCAAGACCGCATTTTACCAGCTTCTTTACAAGAATGTCATGGGGCACCTTGTCAAATGTCTTGCTGAAATCAAGGTAGGCTACATCCACTGCTACATTGACCAAAAAGATTCTTGTTAGTTTTGCTTATTATGGATTTATTCCACCCTTTTCAACCAGGAATTCAGGGTGTCTTACGCAGGTTCTCACAACAACCCTGTGAGGTAGGTTAGGCCAAGAGATAACAACTTGTCCAGGTAAGCCAGTAAGCTTAGTGTCTACATAGGGATTTGAACCTGGACTTCTCTGGTCTAAAGGTCAAAGAAGATGTGATAGCAGAAAGACTTTGGTCAGATTTCTAGTGGTCCCATCTCCCCCTTTAAGGGGGACTGATTCTGAAAAGATGATCCTCTCTTGGAAATGGGGCAAAACATACAAAAGTAACATATGCTGATCAGGTGTATGCACACAGAATTGGGAATATTATTGCTTTATTATTTTGTTTGCTAGTTGACTAATGCCAAATGGTCTTTAGGTGACTCACAACAATTCTAAAGCTTGCAAAATTTTAGAACAACAAAGATAAAGCAACATTATAACATTTCACCCACCCCACCCCAAAACCAACAGCTCAGATTTGAAATAATTACGGCGCAGGAACTGGCACATCACATGCCTGCGAAAAGAGCAGTGTAGGAGCACTGTTCCTATCCCGTGTGGTGTGTGGATGATAGGTAGCAAAGGGTAGGTCAATTAAAGCGTGGGAACTACCTACATATTAGAAATAAATCTCTAGCATAGAGACACTAGGAAGCTTAGGAGGTAGTGGTGGTGGTAGTTGTTGATCATGCCACTGGAAATCCTTAAGGCCTGAGTTGGACCAGGGGAGGAGGAAAGCAGCAGACTGGCCTGGGGCCATGGAGTAGAGAAGCAAGTGGGGAGAGAGTGAATCTAAGGGTGGATCCACAACATATATTCAATGAGCATTTAAAGCACACAAGTCCCCCAAGAGAATCCTGGGAACCATAGTTTGTTTGTTTGCAAAGTTTTAAAATAATTATTTCATTTTATAATGTATATAAAACAAGAGAGAACAGTTATAACAACAGACGGAAATTAAAAGATGAAAGACAAAACTATAAAAGAGGCACGTAGAAGGTGACCAGTTGCACGTGGGTTAAAATCACGAAGTCCAAGTAAAGACTATCGGGAATCATAGTTTAAGGTTGCTTAGAACGGTAGCTCGGTGAGGAGGGAAACTACCGTCCTTAGGCTTCTTTGGGGGAAGTCATGTGCTGTAAATGTGCACTGGGTGTGCTTTAAATGTACAGCAACGGGTGAGACGGAAAGATGAGTAAGGGGAGCAGTCAGGTGCCGAGGAGGACAGGACACTGCTGTGCCCGTCTTCAGTGGTGGTGTACAGTACAAGACGCCACTTGGGCGGCTGCAGCTTATCTCACTATTGTAGTGCTGCAGGAGTGAAAATCCCCTCTTGTTGCGCGCAAACCTGAGAGGTGCGGGAGCCTGCGCTGCGCTAAACCGGCCCTTCCTGCTGAAAAAGGGAGGAGCAGCAGCAGCAGCAGCAACAATGGCAGAGCTTCCGAGGGGGCTGTTGAAATGGGATGCAGAAGGGAGCGGCGGGGCAGGCGAGGAAGGAGGCCTGTCCGAAAGGGGCGCGCGTGTTGCGGCTAGAGAAGCGGCCACGCGAAGTCCCCGCGTGTTTTGCTCAGGCTCGCCGCAATCCTGCTCCCGCCAAAGGAGCAGCGCGGGGCCTCCCTTTCGCCGCGGCCGGTTTGCCTCGACGAGCAGGCCTTGGCCGGCCTCCCCGCACGGGCCGCGGGGCCGGAGCTGGAGGCCTCGGGGTTGCCTGCGGTGGCGCTGCCCTTGCGGAGAGAGGCGCCTGGAGGCCCGGCGAAAGCGCGGCTGGGAGGCGGAGGGGAGGGAGCGGGATCAGCTCAGCGTGGCATGACGAGACGAGGCCCCCGGAGAAGTGAGCTATGTCCCTTATTGGTCACACTACATTTCTTTTTCATTAGCAGTTAAATGCAGACATGAGGGATCGGCGCAGGTTCACTGGGCGCGCGCCGTGCGGTATTTCCGGCCGTGATGGATTAGCCTCGGTGGAGGCGGCGGCGGCGGGGACGAGGGCGGGAGGGGGGAAAGCCTGCTGTCAGCAGCCCCAGCTGTGGACGCCTGTCATGGGGGGAGGTTGGGGGGGGACACCGTGACACACGTCTCCGCAAATAGGAAGGACAGGGAGAAGAACCAGGGCCTCGCATTAGGGTCCAGGGATGAGGGCACAGTGGCGGATGAGGTGGGACAGGCTGGGCAAGGAGTAGGTTGGTTGTATATATCACAGGCAAGTGTACCTATTGGCATTTCCCCGTTGTGTCTGCTAGTTGCCGGCACATTCTCCCCATATATGTGTTCGGCTGGTGAGCACTACTGGCTTTCTTGTTTTGTGAATGAGTCTGGAACCGTCCTCAGTATACACTTGTGCTTCAGAAATTCTGGAATTGTAGCATCCAGGCACGTGGGCGAAGCAGAAGAAAATGTGGTGCTTTAAGCATTTGCATATACATTTTAGATGATAGGGCAATTGACATTTTGAAGTGAAAGATTCCAGAATCCTTAAGTGTCAGACAAACTGTGTGCTGACCCCCACACTGAAGTGGATTGTAATCTCTATGTTAACACTTTTTAAAAAAAGAATACATAAATGCTATCAACATCTAGCCCACCCCATTCCCAGGACAGCCAGCAATGTGCTATTTTACTGCAAAATCGCATCGCTTTAACCTCATTTGTGCTATCCCAGCTCAACACAGGCCAGTGACAAATGGGAAGCAGTGCAAACATTATGAAGATTTTTACCTAACACATATTGGAGGATATGTGGGTTGACTCTAGTGAGACAGAAGGCGGAGGGTTCTAGCTCTCCATATCTGGAGCAATGTGAGTTACATCTAATAGCTGGTTTTATCTGAGCCGATCATCAGATGGGGCTTCCTGTTCCTCAGGTGTAGGAAGCTGAATTTAAGGCATAGAGGAGGGAATTTAAACCTGAGCACTGTTCCTATCCATACATCACAGGCTGCCCGCTTGTCCCAGTAAGAAACTAAAAGGGTATTTTTAGACTTAAGTTTGAAGAAGGAACCCCAAGTTCATCCAGGAACAGTATTAACAAAGCAGTGATATGGGGGGGGGGTGATTGTAGGTTAAAGCCAAAGGGCATTGCCAGTATTTTGCTTGGAAACATACACACAGGCAAGTATCACAATTGTTAGTAGCATCAGGCATAACCAAAAGTTATTCCATATTGTGAACAGTCAGGAAGTAAAACAAACCTACACACAATCAATGAGCATCTGCTTCACATGCAGAAGGCCGTGGGTTCAGTCGCGGGCATCTCTACCTAGGGCTGGGAGAGTGTAAGCAGTTTTAACTAGATGACCCAGTGGTCAGACTCAGTATAAGGCAGCTTCTGACTACCACACCATCTGTAAGTGTGCATTCCTGTTGAAGGCAGTATCTAGAACTATCACCTCTGATTATCCCTGTTAATACACAAGCGTGGGATGATGTATCATGTGGCATTGTAATGCTCTTAACTTACTCCTCTGAAAGTGTTTTCTGACATCTCCCACCAGCCTCATAAAATCTTAAAAGAGTTACTGGTAAATGTCAAATGATGGTGAGTTTTTGACACTTGCCGGAGCATACTTAATAAAGAGGAAGTACCTAGGGGGGCTTTCTGTTGGCCCTTACGCCCAGTGGTGTTTGGTTGGATGCAGCAGGACTGAGAACATGGCCATCTGAGTTGGCTGTGGGGACAGCAGCATGGCTGAGAGCTCTTGCTGCAGTTGCTTTCATTAATGTTACAGACCAATTAACTGTGTAATTAGCCGAGATCCCCAAAGAGCTGCTGCTGCTCTGATTACAGTGAAGGAGAGTTGAAGCCTTGCCCTTTAACTGAAGAAGTTTGATCTTAGAGGACTGCGGGGTTTGGTGGCCAGCAGAGCAAAGGCATTTTGCATGTACTGATTTAACCTTGAGGTTTGGAATGAAATCCACCTACGCAAGGCCCATGGTGGAAACCTGACTCTTCATGGCCTCTGTGAATGTTGTGGTTGCTAGTGTGCCAGTTTCTAGCCCCTCTCCTCTCTGCCCAGGTGCCCAGCAGAGTGCCACAGTGCCCATCCCTGTGCCTGGCTCTTCCTCCGACCTGCTCCCTCACTTCCTGCTGGAACCGGAGGATGTTTACATTGTCAAGAACAAACCGGTGACACTGGCCTGCAAGGCCACGCCTGCCACCCAGATCTACTTCAAGTGCAATGGCGAGTGGGTGCACCAGGGCGACCACATCATACAGCGCAGCATGAACAAAACCACGGGTGAGTGCTGAAAGGGGTGGGGCATCAAAGGGCAGAAGAGGAATCTTGTTTTGATGGCTGCAGGGCTGATGCTCAGCTCCTGTCGCACTGCTGACCTGGAGTTAGGAGGCCTCATATTTATACTGTTAGCATAGCTTTTGTGCTTCTTTGGCTGCTGTGGTCTCCTGAGATTTCACCATTACATTTTAAAGTTTTTTAGAGATTTCTCACATGCTTCTGAGCATATATTTGCAACAATCAGAGCCAGAGACATGTTGGGGTTGTCCCCCCTCCCTTTTCTCTTGATACTTGAGCTTCTCTGGAAACTGAACACAGCAGCGTTCTGCACACTTACTGCACTTCCACAGAATTGTGACACCCATTCATGTAGAGCTCCTCCACCCACTGATCTCTCCCCCCTTCCCTGCTTTCCACCCTTGCCTCTTTGCCCCCTGGTGTTTTGGCAGGCCTGCCCCTCATGGAAGTGCGGATCGACATCTCACGGCAACAGGTGGAGAAGATCTTTGGCTTGGAAGAGTACTGGTGCCAGTGTGTCGCCTGGAGCACGTCTGGCACCACCAAGAGTCAAAAGGCCTACGTGCGCATTGCTTGTGAGTGGCGCCCTGCTTACCATCCTGTCTGCTCAGGGGACCCCTCTAGGACTTCAAACCACCCATCTTCCCTCTCCTAGAGCCTCATTGTCATTCCCCCCACCTACAGCTGAAAATCAGAGCCTGTTCTTTCATGTCTGAATCGACTACGATCAATTGGATGCTCATGTTGGCAGGGAGCAGACAAGGCTGTGGCCTAGTATGACCTGGGGGGTCTTCAGTGTCATCTTGACACCACTCTAAGCCTCTCTTCTTTCCAGATCTGCGAAAGAATTTCGAGCAGGAGCCCCTGGCCAAAGAGGTCTCCATTGAGCAGGGAATTGTGCTGCCTTGCCGCCCTCCAGAGGGGATCCCACCAGCTGAAGTGAGTACTGGCCCTGCATGCTTAATCCTGGGCAGTACTGAGGGGGCCATTGGGGAGAACGGTTGAGGAAGCCCACCAGTAGCACAAAACCAAACCAAACCACTTCATGGGGACCACCTGATGTTGGAACCTGCATCTCCCCAGCGTTGGCTTTGCCACCCTGCAGTTCCTGCAGACGATCTAGGTTGGGTTCGTGGTAGCCCATTCGCCCTCACCCTCATTGCAGCCACTTGATTGACGCCGGCCTGTCTCTCTGCAGAGCTCATTAACGCACATTTCGGAGCCTCCCTGGGCTGCCCTGGTGCTGAGTGGCCTGTCAATCTCTGTCCCTCACTAGGTCAGTGCCAGAATGTGTTTTCTTCTGAGACAAGTTGCAGTCGCAGTGTCCTTAAAGGCTACGCGGCCTGACCCAATCCTCCTGCCCTATGTGTGGCTTGTGTCTCCTCAAGGTCGAGTGGCTGCACAACGAAGACCTCGTGGACCCAGCACTGGACCCCAACTTCTACATCACGCTGGAGCACAGCCTGGTGGTGAAACAGGCCCGCCTGGTGGACACGGGCAACTATACCTGCGTGGCCAAAAACATTGTGGCCCGGCGCCGCAGCTCCCCTGCTGCTGTCACTGTCTATGGTAGGGCCCCACCAGGCGATGGGATGGGTGGTCCCCAGGAAAAGGGGACCAATGGGCGAACAGCAGGTCTCTCCATAAGTCTTCAGGGTTGGGGGCAAGGGCAGGAATCTGGTTTCTTTGGAGGCTTGGCTGTAGCTCAAAGGGGAAGATGAAGCAGTGACGGGGCCGTCTCAGGTGGTAGATGCTGGTGCAGAGGTGGGGAGTGGCAGCCTGGTGTTAGGGAACAAAGCTGGGTGTGCCTCTAAGATCACTTGCTGCCCTCAGATGGGGTGGGGGATGCTAGCCCACTGCCAGCACTGAAGGAAGATTTGAACTGCCGGAGCCAGCCAGCTTTCATAAAAGGAAAGGGGAAGAGTTGTGTGGAGGCCAGCTTGTCCTTCCCTTTGGGCAGCACCATTTCTTGGGTTGGCCCAACTGTTTTGGGGTGTGATGAAGAGGGGACTTTGCTAAGTACATGCACCTCAAAATGGGGGGAATATCCATCCTGGAGGGAGAGAGGGGGTGGGCGGGGGAGCCAGGCTGTGTCAACGCGACATCGAGAAAGCGATGCTCCTGCAGAATCTCACAGGAGAAAGCGGCATGACCCCCCCACCCCACCCCCTCCTCCAAGTGTCCGCCCCTCTGCTTGTGACTCCTCCTGCATCCCCCCATGTTTTCCTGTGTATTCTCCCCAAGCTGCACACACATACCAAAAGCAAGAGGGAAGCTGGCACCCCAGAGCCGGCCGTTTTGCCCCAGGAGAACCCTGGAAGCGCTCGGCTCCTTCTCTGGGCCCAGAGAGAGAGCCCCACCTCCCTTCCTGCAGCCAACGACTGGCCCTCCCAGGGTGCACCGTCGTTGGGAGCTCTAGCTGATGCTCTCCCTTCCCCCCAGTGAATGGCGGCTGGTCGACGTGGACGGACTGGTCAGCCTGCAGCACCAGCTGTGGACGGGGCTGGCAGAAGCGGAGCCGGAGCTGCACCAACCCAGCACCACTCAACGGGGGGGCCTTCTGTGAGGGCCAGAATGTGCAGAAAAGTTCTTGCGCCACCCTGTGCCCAGGTACTGCCCTGCCACTGCTGCGCACCTGCTCCGGCGGCTCTGTTTTGCTGTGCTCACTCGCACCCTTGGCCCCCGCCCCACCACCCACAGCAGCGGGAAAAGACTCGAAATCTAACACATAGGAAGCCCAGAGCAGGCTGAGCCACACACGCCTCCCACTCTCAGTCCACTCCAAGCCCCCCCCCTTTTCTATTTCAGCCCGGAGTTCGCTGCTCACACAGCTTTGCCTATGCACTATCCCATCACTGTTTGGTTGCCCCTTCCTTTCCCCCAAAGCGACCTCGAGCCCAGAATGGTGCTGCATGTTCCTGGGACTTGTTTTTTCAGTGCCTTCAGCTCTGTTTGAGCTACTGGTCCCAAGAGAGCAGCTGGCCTTTGCCTCGCCTTCCCCTCTTTGCTCTACCTGTCTTCCCCCACCCATCCATGTGTCTGTGTTTGTCCCTTCCCATCTCTGAGCCCCTTCCAAGGCATGTTACAAATATGGGAGGGCCCCCCTTGCCCCATTAGAAGTGGCTTCTGTGGTGGCCAGCAATGGGTCAGCCCTGAGCTACTTCAGCCCGGTCCCTCCTCTCTGTAGCTGACATCGCCCAACAGTGTCCTCTCGACCCACCAAGCTGCTGCAAGCATCCGGCTAGTGAGATATCTGCTTGGGCTTGGCGGGGTGGGGAGGTAGAATTTATGCTGAGGATGAGAAACCGTTTGAGATTTGGGATTTTGGTCCCTAAGCCTCTGTACTGCCTCCTCCTGTCTGGCAGTGCCTGGCGGTTGGTCAACCTGGAGCATGTGGTCAGTGTGTGGTGCAGACTGTACACACTGGCGAAGCCGTGAATGCTCGGATCCGGCGCCCCGGAATGGGGGGGACGAGTGCCAGGGGCCTGAACTGGAGACCCGCAACTGCACCAGCGAGTTATGCACTCACGGTGAGTTCCTGCTGCTTTTGGGGAAATAGAAGACTCATGCCGTGGGTGGAGATAGAGGGGAGAGGTGCAGGTGGTGGCATGAATTTGACGAGCATCTTCTGGCACAGGTGTGCCTCTCCGGGGTGGCCGTGGACATAGGCAACTGGTGCTGCCTCCTGTTGCGTAGCTTCTTTTGAGCGACCTTCCGTTGCAGGCTGATTGAGATGTAAGGGCATTGAGGCCTGTCAGTTCTGGTCTGCCTATCTGTCCACGTAGGAACTAGCAGCCGTCTGCCCAGCACAGATGGAATCTCTGCTGCCTGGTTTAGCGTTGCTTCATAGCCACAGGCTAGAAGGCAGAAACCCACCTTGTCAGCGGCACCCCCTGGCCCATGCGTCCCGCCACAGGCTCCGTCCCGGAGGCCCCAGAGCTCTTCTGAAAGATCACAACTGGTGCGCACTGGCCCAGCAAGCAGGCTGTGTGCCAGCCCCACCCCAAGGCAGGAGAGCTCTGCGCTGGCCCTGCCAGGGCGGAAGAGTGAGTGACAGGCCCCATCCTGGCTCATTAACTATCCTAGCTTGTTAGGCCTCCTAGGGCTTTTCTCTTCCTTTTACATCAAATTAACCATTCTCACAGCTGAAATGAAGCAATGGCCCCCTGCCCTCCCCAGGGGGACTCAGGCTGACGGTTTGACCCAGCTGGCAGTGGGGGTGGGGAGGAGGTGCGTGAGGGATTCAGAGGGACAGCAGGGCAAAGTGCTGGTTCAAAACGCACACACACACACACACAACTGGTTCATTCTTCCTCCCTTACATACAATTCCCTGTACATATGTTGCCTCATAAACCAGACTAATGCTTGCTTCTGTTAACACAGAAGCCTTGTTTGTTCTCTCTCACACACCCACACCAGGCCTGCATTCTTTCTTTCCCGCCTTCCCCCTTCAGCCCCCACCAACCTGCCTTCTTCTGTACAGAGGCTTCATACAAAGGACAACACACGCTCACACTCTTCTGCACAGCTGGGATTTTGGCCATGGAGCTTTGAAGGTTTCTACTTACTCAACCTTCAGAGATCATAAGCAAGATCCCAATTCTCCCAATTAAAGACTGTCTGCCTTTACTTAGAAATTATGAGACAGGAGCAGAAGGGCTCCTTTTAACCCAAGCTGCAGCCTTACTAACCCTGCCCAAACCAACCTCTGCCACAAAACTTTTCCTGCAGAAGCACCCTTTGTGTCTAGTCTGTGTCTAGTCCTCCCGGAATCACATTTCAGATCCCCTTCTGAACTATTATTTCTATAAACATAAAGATTTTTAGATAACACACTGGTTCGACAGACAGGGTTATTGTTCTTATGAACAATTAAATGGGCTTGTGTCCCAGGCATGATCTCACACTTACAAGACCCCTTTTCTGTTTCAGTCCCGGGTTCACCATTCACCCAGCTTTGCCTGTGCCTCAGCACCCACTGTTCCCCAGAGCAGCCCTTTTCTTTGATAACATGCTGGTAACATGGCTGTAGTTATTATAAAAGGGAACCACAACAGATGCTCATAAAATACGCTGCTTGTTTTGAATGTCATCTTGCATTTATCTAAAAATGGGTTGAGAATCTTATCCTGCCACCACCACCCCGCCTAATTCAGACCCTGATTCCCAAAGGAATCTCTCATGCTTTCCACCCATTCCTCTCCAATATGGATTTTGCATCATTTTTAAGACCAGGACTTGAAGAAGGCTGTGAGTTTAATACTCTGCTCAAAAAGGAGGAGGTTGGAAATGTGACTTTGCACTGAAAGACAGGGAAAGGGCAGGGGTTTGGGGCGGGGTTTTTTAAGGGATCACAGGATTTGGTTATCAATTCATTGATGACCCTCATTGCAAGAAGGCCAATGACGTTTCATTCAGTGTCTCTTCCATCCCTAGAGACATTGGCGGACTTCCATAGATAATTGCGCACCATGCAGATGAGCTCCTTCTCCAGAAGGGGATGCCATTATTTTATACAGGGCAACAACTGGCTCAGAATTGCACACCTCTCTGTTCTCTCCTGCTTCCCCTTTTAGGAACGAATGGCTCTGAGGATGTGGCTCTGTATGTGGGCCTGATCGCTGTCGCTGTCTGCCTGGTGCTGCTGCTCCTAGTGGTAACCCTTGTCTACTGTCGCAAGAAGGAAGGGCTGGATTCTGACGTGGCTGATTCTTCTATTCTCACTGCTGGCTTCCAGCCGGTCAGCATCAAGCCAACCAAAGCAGGTGAGCATCACGCCAGTCTTGGGGCATCCTGGGGATTTTTGGAGTCCTTTGCATTGAGTGCAAGCAGCCTTCCTGGAGCCACGGTCAGCTGCCAGGTCTCGATGTGGAGACGGTGTTTGTCTCTTCCACGACTGCAGAAAGGTTAGGTAAGATACAGCTGCAGTGTGTCTTACCTTGTAGCAAAATAGGATGGTGTCTGCCATTTTAAGAGTCCCGTGACTACTGTGCCAACTCTTAATGTGCTCTTCGGGTTTCCTCCCCTACTCTGTTTCTCCTTCCTGCTGTTACAAGTGCTACAAAAAATAAATATGAAATTGTAGTATTCAACACATACTAGCTCAAGGGGATTTCCCATCCCTCTATTCCATCTGCACTATTCTCAAATTTATTCCAGAGGGTTGGGGGAAACCCCAGAACAGATTTAGAGGGTGGGGGAGAATGTTTCATTGCACACACACACACACACACACACACACACACACATCATTTGACTGAGAGAACATTCATTGTAGTGCTACGTTGAACAAAAACCACAGATCTTAAAAGCACAATGGAACCTGGTGACAACTAAAAACAGTGGTTTAAAGAGTTTCGTTGTTTAATAAATGGCTTCCTGGAATAAGCTCAGCTGGTTAGAGCATGGTGCTAATAACGCCAAGATTGCAGGTTCTGTCCCCATAAGAGACAACTGCATCTTCTGCATTGCAGGGGGTTGGACTATATATGATCCTCAGGGTCCATCCCAACTCTATAATTCAATTCAAGTCAAGTGAGCAAATGGGGAAATTTCTGATAACAGAAGACTAAAACTGTTTAAACACCTGAAGGCTTCCTACAGTAGGCAGCGTAAGCAGAGGATATCTGCAGAGGACTACGTAGGAAAAACCACAGAACCAATAAACACACCAAAAATCTCTTACAAAATAATTATAGCCAGAGACTCACCTCTAGCCATGCATCTCTACGTTACTGAGCATCGCCTTTGCTAAAGAAAGATGCAACACCAGAGGGTTAGAAACATGCCATCTGCATATTTTGTGAGAACCTGCTAAATTACCCTTTCCAGTTGCAAGGCCCTAATGCTTCCTGCCAGCCCTCACTGGACTACAGGACACCAACCAGTAAGGGCAGCCTGGTCAGAACAGGAGCCTGTATCAGGAAGGGTTTTCTAATCATCCCACCCCCAGCTCATCTGCCAGGCATTCTTCAAGTATTTCTGAACTAGTTAATTAAAGTTGGTTCCCCACTAATCAAGAAACATGAACTTCTAGAGGAAAAGTAGTTGCTGGAATGGAAGATGCAAGAACTTGCTGGCACATCTCTGTCACAATGACTGTCACAGCCCCAGGAAGTTAAAAATGTAGGGAACCTATTATGTAATGTAGAAGAAGTCAGTAAAATCAAATGGCCTTGAAGTCATCATAGGTAGTTGTATAGTAAAATGACACTTGTGGATAAGCACATCTTTCATCCTAACCAATCCATTTCTGTCATTTTGGAACCAGTTTACAAAGACCCACTAGCCTGGTTGGCAAAGCCATGGCCCAAAGGTTTTAGGCCCTAAAACAGACCATGGTTTATTTTGAACACAGAGCCATGGTCTAAAATGGCTAAAATGGCACTCTGAATGATCAGAGTGCTAGAGTGTGCTGCTCTTCCTGCTTGCCCCCTTCCTTCCATGTGCTGCTTAGGAGCTGAAAGAAACCAGATCCCTGGCCTCATATTGCATGCAAACCAGCACTTGTGGTTTTGTTTTTCTCCAAGCAAACCATGAGCAGTAACCAGTGTTTTTTCTTAGCTTACTGTTTGTGGTTTGCTGGGAGGGAAACAAACCACAACTGTTAATTTGCATGTAAGACTAAGCCAGTGCTCTGGTTTATTTCTACTGCAAGGCAGCCCAGGGAGGAGAGAGGCAGGCACAAAGAGCAAGGGCTGGTCTGTTTTAAACAATAGCTTCACATACATGTGGACTGGGTCGTTTATGAGCATCTAGGTGTGGGCGGAAGAGGTACCCTACCATCATTCCATCAGCCACTCAGCTTTCTCATCACCTCATGATGCGACCTTTGGCCTTTGAGGCTCACCTCTTTGCACCCTGACAAGTGGTGGGGCATTAAAATGACAACTGTGTCATGTGGCCAACTCCCTTAGTCATTCTGCATTTGGATATCCTGCCCGGATAGGTTGTATGAATTAGTCCGGACTCCTGGGCTCTGCAAGGGAGACGGTACTGCATCTTTAGGAAGCTGTCTCTGGGAAATAAAATGCATAACCTTATTAATACAAAAAGTGATGGTTTGAACAGGGATCTTTGTTTCTCGGGTCATTGCAGCAGTCTGTTACCCCTGCTGGTTAATGTATTTTGTGCAACATTGTCTGATGAGATGATGTTTTGTGATTAGGCTGCTATCTACCTGAGGTGACTGAAAATATCTGCATTTGCATCTGTAAGCAATATAGGTCTGTATATTGTGCTAAGAATGAACTCTCTTTTCCATTCTGCCTAGAGAAGAGCTTTCAATACGTTCAAACAGCACATGTATTTTGACCGGCTCAATTTGTTGGGTTATTGACATAAATCTCTCTCCTTTGCAGATAACTCCCACTTGCTTACTATCCAGCCTGACCTGAGCACCACCACCATGACCTACCAGGGCTCACTCTGCCCACGTCAGGATGGACCCAGCAAGTTCCAGATTGGCAATGGGCACCTGCTGAGCCCCCTGGGCAGTGGGCGCCACACCCTGCACCACAGCTCACCCAGTGCGGACCCTGTGGACTTTGTCTCTCGGTTCTCCACCCAGAGCTTCTTCCGCTCCTTGCCCAGGGGTGGTGCCAACATGGCTTATGGAACCTTCAACTTCCTGGGTGGACGTTTAATGATCCCCAACACAGGTGAGATGGGCAGAGAAAGAAGGCTGGGGATTTGGGAGGCTGAGCTAGGTAGGGAAATGTGTAGGTTCTTTATGATGCGCGTAGGGACTTCCGGGGTGGCGCCATCGGCAATGGCGGACTCCCTCTGAACTGGAGGGACTAGCTCTGCGTGAAACGGGTCCTTTCCGCTACGGCGAAGCGGGGACCCTGTTAAAAATCACAGGCGGATGAAGCCTGTGACCGTGGGACTCGGCGGGCACCCTTAGCGCCCCCCCAACCCGCAAAGGAACCCACTAACGGGCTCCGAAGTGAAGAGGGGGAAGTGGTGCGGTGCTGTGAGTCAACTGCTATTTCCGTGGAGCGAAGCCGCATAGCCGTTGCCGGAGAGCGCTGCCTTTTTCCTGGGACAATTTGGCTTCTAAAATAAGCACCCGTGAGTACTTAAACTTTGAACAATTGGACTTTAAATAAGGACTTGCGAGCAGAAAGGAATTGGACTTAAAGATTTATTTCAATTTGGTACTGAAACGGGAAGGTCTAAACAGGAAGTCAGCCTTCCGTTTCTTTGTAGACAGAATAAAGCAAAGACAACGTAAACTAGAGCTTAGAAAATCGCTTCTAAAGGATTGGCTTTCATCATTTAAAATTGTCGAACCCCCCTTCGGCAGCAGGAGAAGAAGGGGAATCTTTTTTGGACTGTTTAAACCTGCAGAAGTGAGTTTAAAGTAAAGTAACTTTCCACCGTCCTGATCCTGGAGCGGGGTGTCAGGACTGACGTTTGAAGCTCATTGACCAGAGACAAACGTTTTTGACAGATAGTTAAAAGAAGAGAAACATAGTGATTCCACTGTTTCCTTTCGCACTTTAAAGGAACAAATACTGACCAAATATCTCAAAAAGGATACTCTGTTGCAAGAACAAATAGAAGTTCTCCCCCTAGAGGGAGACTGTGAAATTGTAACTAATTCTAGGGAGCTTGCAGCTGTCACAGATTACAATCGTGGGAATGGACTTGTGACCTTGTAGGACAATGTATTCAGAGGCTCTGTTGTGTGCTCTCTGTAAAATAAGTGCCCTACTGGAACAGTTAAGTGAGAAGACGGATTTGATGACTAATGCGGTCAGAATTTTTGAACAGGCAGTGGGAAACTATGTGGAGCCCACCCAGGAATCAGATCAGGAGTGCGTCCTGACAGAGCAGATGAGAGAAGAGGATGTTGCTGAATCTTGGGCGCCAGAGATGGAGGGAGCTGCGGCCTTGCAGGAACATGAGCTTTTGGATTTGACAAATGAACTTGGATTTGGATTTGGAAAGATAAAGTTTGGATTGGTTTGGAAATGGGGGGTTGGATAGACCCCCCTATGCAGGGATGTTTGGACTTTCCGAGTCTGGCAATGGGCCGTGAGATGTTTGGAGCTGTGGGGGCTCTCAATTTTGGAGGGATTCTGAAACATGTTTTTAAATACTACATGGAATTGAGTCTGGACTATGGAAAAGGGGCTGATTTGTTGAAAAGGGTCAAAAACATCACCAAGCTGGATTTCCCACGATTGAAGGGAAAATATGAAGAAGAGCTGCGGAAGGGACATGGAAGTGACTTAAGGGCCTCGGATATAAGGTTACCAGGTTAATGCGCTAGATCGATGGGAAAAAAGGACTGACAAAACCTGGGACCAGGAGGAAGGGACGCTGGATGAAGATTGGATTGTTTTTATTTCTTTTTTTCTTATTACCAGGATTGTTTTATAAAATGGATGAATGTTAGAAAAATGTTGGAATGAAATTAGTTGGCTCTAGTAAAAATGTTTAAAGAGTTAGGTAAGAATATTATGGTTGTGAGAAGTCGGTAAAAATAAGATTTAAGTTTAAGTTTTAAGGTTTTTTATAAGATAAGATGAAAATAGATTAAGGTAATGTAAAGACAGAATATTATGAAATATGGAAAGGATTTGCTGCAATAATTATTAACTAGGATACAAAAAAAGGGAGGAGGAGGAGGTCAAAGAAAGAAGGTAATGAGAGTTGAGGATTTGAGAATGATGGATTTATTTTTGTCTGTTTGTGGTGTATTTTTGTTTTTTGAATTTGTATTGTTGGATGTGGTTTGTTTTTTCTTTGTTTTTTCTTTTTTATTTTTCTGCTTTGTTTTTTCTTTGTAATTCAAAAAAATTTCAATAAATATCATTAAAAAAAAAAAATATGATGCTCGTAGTTCCCTTCTGGACCAGCATTCAAGCATACACATGCAAGAGACTGAGGCTTCCTGTTTGGCCTGTATAGGAATACGATAAGTGATCGTTTTGTGGATAAATTCCAGATATAAACTGCATATACCATTTCCCCACTTTACGGGGAAATTGTCCTGATCCTGAGCAGCCCCTTATTAATGCCCAAGGGTCAGCATGCCCAAGAGAACACGGAATGTTTCTTACAAGCCTGGACCCATAGGAAGGTCTGACAAGGGCTTGTCCACCCACGAGGCGACTGCCCCTGGTGTCAGGATTTGCAGGGGCAGCAGATCCTGATATTGATCTTCCCCCCTTGTTCCTGGAGCTGGCTCTTCCCTCACATCTTCTTCTCTGTTGGGGAGCAGGACATCATTTTGGGGTCTGCCTAAGGTTCAAAAATGTCTTGGGCCATCCATGGACACTGTATATTGCACCCCCTTGAGCAATAATGTCTGTGTCCTTTAGGTGTCAGCTTGCTCATCCCACCTGATGCCATCCCGCGAGGAAAGATCTATGAAATCTACCTGACGCTGCACAAGCAGGAAGATGTGAGGTACCCCTCTTACCCCTGAAATCCTTCAACTACCGCGTTAGTGGTCAGTGGGACCCCTAATTTCTCATATACCAATTTGACTCCAGTCCACTGTATGCCTGCCCCATCACCTGTGGCACATAAGGGCTCTCCTACAGGTTCCTGTAGAATCCACACGGAGTTCTTGGACAACTGCATCCCTGTAGACCTTGTCATGCAGATGGGCTGCAGAAATTTGCCTCCACTCATGAGGTGGAGGGAGCAGCATGAATTGAATGTCACTGTGGAAGGTCAGCTACAGCATCCAGGAAGGAAACAAAGTCTTGACATACACATTACTCCTCTTGCTGGAAAATTCTCAGTGTAATTCTATCCCTTCAAGATCCACAACTCCAGATTATCCCATTCGGCATTTCAATCTCTTACCAGGCACACACTTGCCTGAAGGAAACAAAACTGATTGGAAATAGGCAATAGGACTCATCTACTTGTTCTACATGTACAGAGGCTACAGGGCCAGTAGCACCCCAACCCTGAGCATTTTACATCAAAGCTCTAGTAATACCAGTCTAGCGCTTCCCACCTCATGCTCGTAAGATTGAACTATATAATCAACAGAGATCACCCACCATTTCTAGGCAGATTTCTCTGTCGCAATCTTAACTACATCCTAAAATGCTACCGAGCATGTTTCTGATTTAATGTTTTTGTGCTGGCCCTTGACAGCCCACTCTTGCCCGCATCCCTCTGCTCACAGCTGCATCAACAGCAAATGGAGAAAGCATGCTTCTGTCATGGCACATTTAGTGTCAAGAATCCCTTTGGTGCTGGTTGAGGATTGAGGTGGGAGATTTGATTAGGACATCTAAAGCAACCTGGCCTGGAGCATGAAGGATAAGTCATGTTAGCTAAGCGGGTGAGATCTGCCAGCCAGAAAGGACCTTGCCAGGCTGCTCAATGGAGCATCACCCTCTGGCTAGTCATCCTCTAAGGAACTTGACTGCTGCACACTTGTACAATTCCTGCCCCCGCCCTGTCCCTGCTCCCTTCCAAAGAAGGATACCTAATGCAACTTATTCATCGTGGATATATTCTCAGAAACATTTTTGGAGTTCCCACTTTGCAGATAGCTCCAATAACAGCTGTCTGCCATAACTGAGGCATTTCCACTTTTCCCACGAGCCTTACTCCAATTCACACATCTAGCTCAGCACTCAGAGTCCCATCTAGCTCAGCACTGACTACACTAATGGGCAGCAGTTCTCCAGGATCTTCCTGGATTACCCAGAGATGCCGGGGATTGAACCTGGGACTTTCTGCAAACAGACGCTGTGCTATTGAGCCATGATCCTTCCCCATTCCCTTATGTCAGCATCCATTTCCGATGCACTTACTGAAGACTGCCAGCTCCAGTTCTCTGCTTGGATTGCCAGTAGTACATGCTGACTATAACCCCACCCAATTTCTCCACTCTGCTTCCACCGCCCAGTGGTGAGAATGCAGATCCTGTTTGCTTTCTGTGCCCATTGGAATGATAACCAAGGGAAACTAGCTCATGGCAATAGTCAGAAGCGTCTGTGCTTGGCTTTGTATGCCCCTTCTCTTTCCAACTCATGGTTTTCTCTCTTTTTTGAGGCTGCCCCTGGCTGGCTGTCAGACCCTGCTGAGTCCCATTGTCAGCTGTGGGCCCCCCGGGGTGCTGCTCACCAGACCTGTCATCCTAGCTATGGACCACTGTGTGGAGCCAAACCCGGAGACCTGGAGTCTCCGCCTCAAGAAGCAGTCATGTGAGGGCACATGGGAGGTGAGTGCTTGGCCTCAGGCAGTTGCAAACCAACCCGAAGGCTTTAAACAAGGCTGTATTGTACTTTTTGCTTTACAAAACAAACAACCTTCCAGGCCAAAGTAACCTAAATTCTGAAACCTGCTTAAATTATGCAAATCAGTCATATTGTTCATAGGTTTTTTTTGCTTGCTTTGCAAACTCTATACTGTTTCTGCTACTTCTGAGAAAGAGGAGGAACTATGCGTGATGCTGAAGTCTCATCCTTGGGAAACAACGGAAGTCTTATTCAGCTATCCCTGTAGCTTTCTCAGGGCTTCGCCATACACTCTCAAGCATATCTTTGCATCCAAATGTTATAGAAACATGCTTTGTAATATATATATGAAAGCTGGATTCTGCCTCCAGTATTACAATCTTACATTTCCCCCCAGAATTGTAGAATATACATTGCCCTATTTTCAATATTAGCAGAATCTGATGGAGTGTTTACTGCCCAGCACTGGCACATTTGATTCTGATTTGTGTTCTACAGTAGAGGCTGTGATGGATCCCTCAGACTAGCTGAAAATAGCTCAGTCAGTAGAGCATAAGATTCTCAATCTCATGGTTGTGGGTTTGAACCCCACCTTGGGCAAACAATTCCTGCATTGCAGGGGGTTGGACTAGATGACCCTTGTGGTTCCTTCCAACTCTACCATTCTATGATTCCAGCTTGAATGTAGTGCAAATGTTCCTATATGTGCCCCAAGAGCAACAATCCTCCTACCCTCTCAAGCTCAGTACTGCATCCTTGGTCCTATATACTAGCTGTTTCCTGCTGATACCCCGCCCATACAGCTTCATTCTCCTTGTGTGTTGGCCAGCCATTCTTGCTTTATTTTTTTTCAGAATTCATAAACTGCTCTGGATTCAAGGAACTACCCAAGCACTGTACTTCTAGCGTATTAGTCAGCCTTCTCCTTCTGACACTTGTTTGTTTGCCAACAGACCTTTGCAGCTGCTTAATTTTTGATTAGCCGGTCACCTTAATGATTATTTGTTCTTTTAAAATGCAATTTAATTTTTTTAATTGATGCTTTTGCAGTGTACACCACCTTGTACGGTACAGAAATGCTTCTAAAAACAAGCCACAATCTGCACTGGCTCCCTTGTGCTGCTGCTTCTGTGCTCATTGTGCCAATAACGGTTGATCAGGGCGGTTTTTCTCTCTCTGCCCACCCCTCCACCGCCTTTCCTGTTTCCTCAGGATGTGCTGCACCTGGGGGAGCCCGTGCCCTCGGAACTCTTCCACTGCCAGCTGGAGCCCCAGGCTTGCTACATCTTCACAGAACAACTAGGCCGCTTTGCTTTGGTGGGGGAATCGCTCAGCATGGCGGCTTCAAAGCGCCTCAAACTGGTCCTTTTCGCACCCACTACCTGTACTGGGCTGGAATATGATGTCCGCGTGTATTGCCTCAGTGACACCCGTGATGCACTCAAGGTATTACCCCACAAGGCCAAAATGCTGCCCTGGAAATGCCCCAAACATATACACCTTGAGCTCCTTTCCCACAAATTTCCCACCTGCTCCAGACATAATAGCCCATTATTTGCTCAAGAATCACAGTTGACCAGCCTTAATGCTATAGTAGTACAGCCTATGTTTCGCTTCAGCGACACTGACCACATGCCCAGTATGTTGCTCTATAATTGCAGGGTGTCCGGCCTCACCTAGGCCTCTCCCCTTCTCCACCTTCCAGTGATTTTGTCACAACAACCCAGATCAGTCCCTTGCAACACCACACTGCGCCTCCGCAGAAGGCGGGAGGCACCAGGAAATGGGTGTTGATGGTTCTAGTCACTCAGCCCCTGCTTTGTCCATGCAATTCCAGGAAGTGGTACAAGTAGAGAAGCAGATGGGGGGGCAGCTGATTGGCGTGCCACGGATCCTGCACTTCAAGGACAGTTACCACAACCTGCGCCTCTCCATCCATGATGTGCCCAGCTCCCTGTGGAAGAGCAAGCTTCTTGTCAGCTATCAGGCAAGTGTGCCCATGGGCGCTGGGAGTGTTCTGTATCAGAGTAGGCGCCCTCTTCTCCAGCCTGCTGTCATTGCGCTATGTCACCTCCCTTTTTCGTCTCTTATTTAGTGGGATTCAGTGCAAAGCCCCATATCCTCAGGACCAGGAATGCCCCATGTGAAAGATGCTAAGCTCTTATGAAGCTCCATCCCCTAGCTGTAGTTGTGGGAGGGGGGCAGGTATTTATCAGTCTGCTTCTATAGTTTGTCTAGTTCCTAATTCTACTGGCAGTTGCTGACATCATGGGCCTGATCATCATGCTCCTAGGAGCCTCATTCCTTACCACTGAGGAAATCCATACAACCCCAACCCAAGCCTGCTCTCTTTCTCTCTCTCTCTCTCTATACAGGAGATTCCCTTCTATCACCTTTGGAGTGGTCTGCAGCCTTACCTGCACTGCACCTTCACGTTGGAGCGACTTAGCACCAGCACTTGCCAGTTGGCTTGCAAAATCTGGATCTGGCAGGTGGAGGGTGATGGGCAAAGCTTCAATATTGACTTCAACATTGCCAAGGTGAGGGCAAGGACATGGCCATGGGAGGGTTGGCCAAATGACTTCTGCGGTACCCTTCTGGGTGGGAACCTATCTAGCTTTTGAACGGGTTTTAAATACGTTATGCGCACTTGCGGTTATTGTGTCGAGGACTGTTTCATAGAATTCCCATGGAACAGAGTCAAAAGTGGAAATGCAAGGCAGGGCGGCGTCAATAGGTCTTTCCATCCTAACATGAGCATAGAAAACTATCGCAGGCTGGAATTGTGTGCATGCTCAGAAAAAGCATAGAATGGGCCAGTTCGGACATAGCTTTGTAACAAACCATAGTTTATGAAGCCAGGTGGAGTGTTGGCTCTGCATGTCCCCATCCCATTCAACCTTCCTTCCCTTGCACACAAGCTTTGGCGCAGGGGTTCTAGAACTAGGGCTGCCCATTCCATTTGAAATTGGGGTTTACAATTGTCCTTTTTATTCTTATTGCACCCTGTCCTGGGACTTTTTGTGAAGGGCAGGTAACAGGTATTCATAATAAATAAATACTAACTAGAATATTAACCAGGGTCAGAGCTTGCTTTAATTATCCTGGTTAACAAACCAACACTGGTCCACCTCCCCATTTGAGACGTTATTAGGGAACTCTTAACTCTGATCTGTGCATCAACACCAACATGCAATGGGAGGAGGAGAGTGGCAAGGAAGAAGCATGTGGGCCCATTGCTCTGCCATGGCTTATGAGACTACATGTGAAGCAGCCCAGTGTTATGTGAGGTGTGAAATTTAACATCTTAAGAACCTTCTTTCATAAAAGCAGGTTTTTTAGTTACTTTAGGGCTGTGAAAGTGTGGCCAGTGATTACTGGAATCTCAGAAGCCGGAGACGTGGCTAACTAGCAATTATGCTCAATTTCCATAATCTGTAGAAGTCACAGGATCCCATTTTTTCTTGGTGCAAAATACACCCGGCCCTGCGCATCGCTGCTCTTTACGTCAACAAAAGCCTCCTTTCCCCCGCAGCACTGAGCCTACCCTTTAACTTTTCGTTCCCCTTCACTCCTCCTTTCCCAGTCAAGCGGGAGATATTCTTTGTGATCTTTAGGTATCCTCCTTCGCTAAACCTGTCAAGTAGACAGAATTACCCTTCTGGGGAATATCTGGGAGAAAATCATATTGTGTCAGGGAGGCCTCTCCACCTTACTTAAAGCAGCATCAAACTGAGAGAGAATATAAAGCAGAAACAGCCTTGTCTTCACGGACACTCTCTCCTCCATTGCCTCCTCTCACCATGAAGACTTTGTTCGCCTTATAGGTCCTAATAGCTGCTCCCCTTTTCCCAGGATGCACGGTTCTCAGACTGGCTGCCCCCAGACAATGAGGCTGGCTCCCCTGCCCTCGTGGGCCCCAGTGCCTTCAAGATCCCCTTCCTCATCCGCCAGAAGATCATAAGCAGCCTGGATGCACCAGGGGCCCGTGGGGCTGACTGGAGAGCATTAGCCCAGAAACTGCACCTCGACAGGTAAATCTCTCTTCCAGGAGAAACAAGCTGCAGCTGGCGCAGACCCTACCAAGTGGATGAATTTTGCTTTAGCAGGAACAGGTGACTAAGGTGGGAGGAGGGGTTTCTGTATGGCGGGCCAGCAGGAACAGATGCAGTCACATTGTTTTTTCCTGTGACATAGTGGGGGCAAGGAAGGAGAGGAAATGGGGAGCTCATCTGGACTTCTTTTTGTGCTGCATTTCTAGAAATGTGTCCCTGTGAAAACCCGTTCTTTACTGCTGAATTGGAGCAAACGGCAATCTGCAGAAATCCCAAATTGCCATTTGTTCCAAATCAGCATTAAAGAGCGGGGTTTTTGCTGGGGCAAAACAAAAACGCTCAGACAGAGTTTTAAAGAGCAGGCCTGTGCCTAGAAAGCATGGGGCAAAAGGTGTGTGCGACTAAGTGCTGTCTTGGGGCTCTTTCTCCTGGGTAATAATGGCCTCTCCTCTTTCCACAGCCATCTAAGCTTCTTTGCTTCAAAACCCAGCCCAACGGCCATGATGTTGAACTTATGGGAAGCCCGTCACTTCCCCAACGGGAACCTCAACCAGCTGGCGGCTGCTGTGGCGGAGGTGGGCAAGCAGGACAGCTCCCTCTTCATGGTGTCGGAGGCTGAGTGCTAAGGCACTTGGTAGGGGCAGCACAGGCCTTTGCTGGGGGGTGGCAGAGGGCATCTCCGCTTGAAGGAGGCAGTGTTCCCACACTTGTCCTGCTTTGAATACGCCTGCGTGCTCCGTCGGAGGCATCCTAGCCTCACGCCCTCTGTTCCTTGTGCCAAATACAACTAGAAGGCAAGCACACCGGGCTCAGTCTCTAGTAGCCATGGGGTGGTGGGGGAAACTACTGAATGCCTGCCCTGCCACTGCCATGGAAGCTCTGGGACTGGCCGAGGGAGGCTTGCCCCATATTCTGCAGTAGGCTGGCAATGGATTCTGATGTACTTCTGTTGGGCTTAGTCATATACCCAGGGCCCTCTTCTTCCCCAGCATGGGAAGAAAGGGGAAAGGAGATGGCTGGCTTGGTGCTTGTGGGGAGTGACCAGGACAAAAAGGTAAGCTTGGTCCTGGAGCCGAGAAGCCCGTGCCTCTCCCGCTGCAGCCCCTGGAGTGTCCCATGCTGCTGTGAAGCAGAGGGGGGATCTGACAGGTTGTTTCCAGAGCCATCTCTGTATATTTTTGCTCCAGCCCAAGAGATACCCGTGACTTGGTCATAGTGGGCCGCCCAGGGGTTGGTGGTTTGCTGACACTGGGGACCCCGAGGGGACAAGGAGAGGAGATGGTCAAGGGCAGCCCAGGGAGGTGGACCATGCTGTGCTGGATGATAGGATCTGTGCCTCCTTAGTCCTTGCCCAGTGTATATGCAAAGGGAATTGTGCGTGTGCGTGGCAGTCCAATCCGTGCAGTGAACGTGTGCTGGGCCAGGCGGGCCCATGCCGTATTGTGTAAAGATCGTTTTTTATTCTGTATTCAAGTGCATTCAAGTATTTACACTTGGCCTTATGTACATATAAGCGTCCCGCACAGGGTTTTAGCGGGCATGAATGTAAATAAATTATATATATATATTGCTACATGGGACTTCTTGTGTCTGTACTCAACACTAAGCCAATGGAAGCATTGCCAGATCTGGAGTAAAGCAGAGAGAGTCCAAAGTCTCCGCAGAGCTTCCCTGACAGCTTAGTAGGTGTAGAAATGTCCAGGGTTATTAAGAAAGCACCTCCATTTTAGCACTCTCAGACGGTGTTATCTTTGGGCTTGCCTTGTTGGGAAAAATATATATATATAACTTGGAAAACCAAGTGGCAGCAGGAATTTGTTTTATTGTTTTCCTCGCTCGAACATGAATCAGAGATGGTAAAGAGAGCTATAAAGATGGAGCACCACTGCTAACACAACTTGCCTTTCCTGCAGTTTGGCCACAGAGGAGGGTGGAACACATTGCTGTGGGTCAAGGTCTGGACATTGTAGAAAATGGCTTGGTGTCCTGGTTACTGGGACATCTTTATTCAAGTCAAGTGGATGGTTTGGTTATTTATGGGCGGCCACAGCAGCAATCAATGCAGCCCCCTTCCCTGAACCATCCTCTGACAGCAAGAACTTGACGTTGCAGTTTGGAGCTATCAGAGCCGTTGTCTTATGAAGCTTTGTTGCAAAGCTGAGAACAGAAAGGAAGAATGTCCGTGAGCAAGAGAAAGCAATGTTCAGCCAGCATCACACCCTCCCCTGGTTACATGGTACTTGGACACACGTTATTCCAGCTTTCTCCTCTTTCCCTCACCCAAAACAGGGGCAGCATTCAAATTTTCTAGGCAGGTGCTGCAGAACCCCATACTCCAAAGAAAACCAGGTACTGCCCATACAGCCATACCGCAGCTTAGGAAGAACCACCCTTTACCATGCACTGTGTCTCCCAAGAAGTACTAAGGTCCTCCAGCCTAGCATGGATTAGTAATGGCTGAGTTTCTCCCCATGCATCAAAACACAATTGTTGTCATGTCTGCCCAACCTGATCTTGCCATCCATTGGGCAACTGAAGTTTCCATTCCCCTCTTTGCACTCTGTTGGGTTGAGGCCTTGCTTGCCCCACAGTTTAATGAAGCAAAACTGACTCACTAAGGATGCATCTTGTAGAGTGTCCCATCCACGCCAACTGTTATATCCAGCTTTGACACACGACGGTTCTCTCGGATCTTCTCCACAACTGCAGATATTCCCACTGCACACATCTTAGCGGCACGTGATGACACGGCACGGCACACATCCTTTACCACCAAGGCATCCTCTGTAGATACACTCAACCCATATTCTTCCAGAATGTTACACACGTAATGGTGACCAGGAGTGCTGCTTACAGAACATTATAATCAGCGGTGGAACTGCTTGAGGCACCTATTATATTCAACAGGAGCTGTTGCCCTCTTAGAAGCTAAGCATTTCTAGTCTTTCAGTATTTGCAGATGGGATTCAATCACAAATGGGTAAATTCAGGCTGCACAATTTAAGTTGATTTGCACAACAAACCACCTTCAATCCCAAATCACTTTTGTTTTTTGTTTTGTTTTTGCAATATGGAAAGTGGGAGATTGTCTGGTGCAATGTTGTATAACTTCCCCACAAATAAAAACGGATGCTTAAGAGCCAGTGTCATCTAACCTCCCCACAAACTTTGTGCAAACAAATCATTATGGATGCTGTATAAACAGGTGGTCTGGAAGCAACCACATTCATCCGGAAAGAACCCATTGTTCCCCAAAGGGTTCATGTGCCAGATCATGAAGGTTTTCTCATTCTAAAAAGGGGGGATGGGAATCCAGGCAGTGCCAAATTACTGAGTATTCTGCATCATAAAGACTAAAACTTGGTGCTCAGAATGTATTATTAAAATAAATACAATATATAAAAATTGGCTTGCTTTCCATAAAATCATTTAAGTTTGCATGCTTGCAATATAATCTGGGACAAGGGGTACTTGCTTGTCAGAAGGTGATCTAAGACTAGGTAAGGTGAAGTTAAGGAACTTAATCAAAGAATGAGGGGTGGACAGATAACCAAGTAGGACTTAGAGACACCTTGAACAATAGAGTCTTTTACAGGTAAAGACCAAAAGTAGCCTCAGGAATTTGATTTCGGCACCAAACCTAAATTCTACATGAAATGAGAATGTTACGGATACACACTTACTCCTCAACATTTGTTAGGAATTTGGTGGGGAAGATGTTTTTGGTCTTGAGTACTTCTGATGGGCGACCCCTGAAGATGACCTTGCGCATTGTTAGCTCCAGCAGAATATAGCGCACAATCTCGCCCAAGTACATGCCACTGATGAGCTTTTCATACCTTTAGGGGAGATGGAAATGAGTGTCACACAAGGAGACCCTGGAGGCAGCCACCACCCCAGATCACTCCCAGGTACTCACCTTTGCTGGCCAGCATTGATGGATTCTGCATCCACTTTATCATCGAACTGTGTTATGTAGTGCTCGAGGCAGCCATTGTCTCCAAACGCCCCCCATTCCATATTAATACACATTCTGCCCTCGTCTCCCTCCACAGTGCCCACATTCCTCATCTCCTCCATGTAGCAGGCATTGGTACCCGTACCTGAGAGAAAGGGATAGAAATGAATCACTGATGAAAATGGACTGTCATATTTCCCCCTGCTCTGATCAAGGAAAGTCTTGGGATCAAGCCTGGAGGAAGAATCTTCAGCCCACTTGGCGGTCCATTCCAAATGTCAAAATTACAGAGAAAGGCTTACCTGTCAGGGAGCAGCCCAGATTCTGGTTGTAGATCCCCCAAAGAAGGTAATAGCTTCAAGAAGAAGAGTGCAGGAGGGCATCCGCCGTTGGAAATATATTCCCTTGGAAAGCACCACATGTATAATCCCAATGCCCCTAAAAGACAGATCCCGCTCACCTATTCCCAACCACCCTAGGGATTTTATCAAAGGGCAAAGCAGTATACATTTCTAGAAAATAATAATTAAAATAATGCTGCCGCAACCATCTTACCGACGATGAGTCCAATCTCACAGTTGGGGTCCACATAGGCACATGCCATCATGGTTCCTACAGTGTCATTCACTATGGCAACCACATCTATATCAATGTCCTGGGAAGAGAAAGGGAGGGAGAGACAGAGAGCAGCAAGATGTGTTACCAGGCAACACGATTCCCTATCACCACAGTAACCAGCAGAGACCCATAGGCCCTGTCGCTTGGGAAATAGGCCCCCTCTCCCCACCCCCTTCTGAAGGCCCCTGGGGGCATCAACCCGAAGGGAGCTCTCAAGCTCTGTCACTGCCATCGGGCTGGCTTACCAAATGGTTGCTGTTACGCCTTCCACTTTCTCAATGGGCTACATAGCAAGTGACCCATCATCACAGAGTAGACCTAGGGGTGGGGGTGGGGACTGAGAATATGGAGCACTGTAATGCTTTGAACATGCAACACAAAATTCTTGGGCCTGCTTGACATACAAGTTGGTTCACCTCAGAGTCGTGAGGGGCTCCTTACGCCATATCCAAACTGAGTGAACTCTGCCAGACACATACCCCATTTCCCAGGTCTGACAAGGAACAGAGGCGAGGCCCTTTTCTACCTGATGCACGCTCTCACTCGCTCACCTGGGAAAGCTGTTGTTAGATTAGAGGTAGGCATCACACGTATGCAAGGGAACTAGACATGCAATGGCTGCTTTTCCTTGGGACTGAGGAAAGCAAATGTCTGGAGGCATGCTTGACCATTTGCCTGCTGCCTCTCTGCTTCAAATCGTTGCCTGCAAAGTCATTCCTTCCCAGGGTTCCACATAAGGCAAACCCAGATTTGGTGAGGGAGGCATTTGGAGCAGAGAATTAAGAGGCAAGAATGCGATTAAGCACCCATTCCTCCTCTCCAAAATCACACCCTTTTGAAGCTGGATTTCCCTGAGAAAAACAGGTGCCAGGCCTGCCTTGCATGGATATGCATGGTTAGTACCTACAGTATATGTATAGTACATGCATGGCTGGTACCTAGAGCTAAGGTGAATAAAAAAAAGAGGCTCTATCATTATAAGCTTCAAAATTCTATAGCTTCATAAAAATGGTATCTGTTTGACTAATAACTTCAAAGCTGGCCTACCTGATTTGCCTGATGAGGTATACAAAAGTGCCAACTTCCACATCAATCTGATAAAAATTGCCAGCATACAGCAAGTTTAAAGGATTGGAAACTGACACTTTGGCCCCCTTTCCCCCAGTTAAGAAAGCATATAATATATATTCTTCCTAATTTTCACAAAAACTACTGAGAGTGGTTATTCTCTTCCAGTATTTAATACCACAATGACCCTATAAAGTAGGTCATGGGGGGGAGTGGATTAGCAATGCATACCAATGAGATGCATGCCTTGTGTTTAACCAAACTACTAGAAGAGACTACACCCCATAACCATACATATACCCTTGCGCTGAAAACCTCTGCCCCCACCCCATGCTGCAAGCCGCCAAATGCCCAAATGAACCACACCCAAGGCCCCTTGTACACATTCTGCCCTAAGCTTGCCACACACTCCACCCAACACAAAAACCCAAGACGCACCTCGCCCCCTGCACTGAACCCCCCTCAACCCCCCCTCCCGGTCACATACACACCACCTCACACTGAAACCCACCCTATACCGAACCCGCTCCCACACACCCTGCCCCACAGTGAACCCGCCCAGGAGGATTACGAAGAAGAAGACGGCAGTGGTTCTCTTCCATTATTTAACCTCACAGTGACCCAGGGAGATAGATCACCGGTATGTGTCGAGATAGCAACAGTGGCCATGTGTTTAACAAGGCTCCTGTCCAAAACGGAGATGTGGGGTGGCGGCTAGACTATTGGACTGGGTGAAAACAAATAATGCATTTCACAGGGATATATCATCACAGCTGCTATCTCTGGAACAGAAAGGGTATACTTGTCTATATGCAGGTGGAAGTGGTCAGAGTGCTGGCAGAGGGGAAATGGATGCATTGAGAGTTAATTAAGCTGGAACTGATTAGAGGGTGTCCCTTGTTTTGTGACTGGACAGGTCCGGCTCTGGCAGCCATTTTGTGCTGTTGTCTATGAGCTTTTCAGATGTCCAGATGTTCCCATGGGTCCAGAATGGCTAGTTTTTGCCAAGGTCTAGGGGCCAGGAGAC